CCTGTAATGTTTTCAGAGTGTCTGCTTTCAGTTCAAGGTCTTCGATCCATTTGGAGTTGATTCTGGTGCAGGGTGATATATAAGGATCTAGCTTTAGTTTTCTACATGTAGTTAACCAATTTTGCCAGCACCATTTACTGAAGAGGCTGTCTTTCTTCCATTGTATAGTTTTAGCTCCCTTATCGAAGATTAGATGGCTATAGGTCTGTAGGTTCATTTCTGGGTTTTCAATTCTATTCCATTGGTCCTGAGGTCTGTTCTTATGCCAATACCAAGCTGTTTTGATTACTGTGGCTTTATAGTAGAGTTTGAAATTTGGTATTGATATTCCTCCAGCAGTGTTCTTTCCGTTGAGGAGCGTTTTCGCTATTCAGGGTCTTTTATTGTTCCATATGAATTTTTGGATTGCCTCTTCTATTTCCTTGAAGAATGAGGTTGGAATTTTGATAGGTATCTCATTGAATTTGTAGATAGCCTTGGGAAGTATTGCCATTTTCACAATGTTAATCTTTCCAATCCAGGAGCACGTGAGGTTTTGCCATTTTTAAAGTTCTATGTTTATTTCCTTTTTCAAGATTTTAAAGTTTTCATCATAGAGGTCCTTCACTTCTTTAGTTAAGGTAATTCCTAGGTATTTTATTTTTTGTGAGGCTATTACAAATGGAGTTGCTTTCCTAATTTCAGCCACACTTTTCTCATTGTTGGCATACAGAAAAGCCATTGATTTCTGCGGGTTAATTTTATAACCTGTTACTTTGCCAAATGTTTGAATCAGCTTGAGTAATTTGGGAGTGGAGTCTATGGGATTCTTTAAGTACAAGATCATTTTGTCTGCAAAGAGGGAGAGTTTTATTTCTTCTTTCCCTCTTTGGATCCCCTTTATGTCTGCATATTGTCTTATTGCTGTAGCTAGGCATTCTAATACTAGATTGAAGAGAAGTGGAGAGAGTGGGCATCCTTGTCTTGTTCCTAAGTTAAGAGAAAATGGCTTTAGTTTTTCACCATTGAGTATAATGCTGGTTGTAGGTTTGTCATATACAGCCTTTATTGTATTGCGGAATGTTCCACGGATTCCTAGTTTTTCCAAAACCTTCATCATAAAGGTGTTTTGGATCTTGTCGAATGCTTTTTCTGCGTCTATTGAGATAACCATGTGGTCCTTATTCTTGCTCCTGTTGATGTGATGAATAATATTAATTGATTTGCGTATATTGAACCAGCTTTGCATCCCTGAAATGAATCCTGTTTGATCTTGGTGTATGATTTTTTGGATGAATTGTTGAAGTCGATTGGCCAAAATTTTGTTGAGAAGTTTTGCATCGATGTTCATCAAAGAAATGGGTCTATATTTCTCTTTCTTTGATGAGTCTCTGCCTGGTTTTGGGATGAGGGTTATGATGGCTTCATAGAATGTGTTTGGTAGTGAGCTTTCTCTTTCAATTTCATTGAAGAGTTGGAGGAGAATTGGTGTGAGCTCTGCTTTGAAGGCCTTGTAAAATTCCGCTGTAAAACCATCTGGTCCTGGACTTTTCTTAGCTGGGAGGTCTCTTACTGCTGTTTCTATTTCAATGCTTGATATGGGCCTGTTAAGGTAGTTTAACTCATCTTGGTTTAGTTTTGGCATGTCAATATTTGCTAGGAAGAGGTCCATTTCTGTCAATTTCTCAAACTTATTAGCATAAAGTTTCGAGAAGTATTCCCTTATAATATTCTGAATCTTGGTTGTTTCCGTGGTGATGTTTCCATTCTCATCTCTGAGTTTATTAATTTGGGTGTGTTCTTTTCTTTTTCTGATAAGATTTGCTAAGGGTCTGTCAATTTTGTTAAGTTTTTCGAAGAACCAAGTCTTTGTTTTGTTGATCCTTTCTATAGTTTTTTTGCATTCTAATTCATTTAATTCTGATTTAATTTTGATTATTTCTTTCCGTCTACTGGATTGGGGTTTATCTTGCTGCTCTTTCTCAAGGAGGTTTAGATGTGTCATTAAATTGTTAGTTTCAGATCTCTCCAATTTGTTGATGTAGGAGCTAAGAGCTATAAACTTGCCTCTGAGTACTGCCTTTGCTGTGTCCCAGAGCAGCTGGTAATTTGTGTGTTCGTTTTCGTTGAATAGCATGAACATTTTAATTTCCTTTCTAATCTCTTCCATGACCCACTCATGATTCAGCAGTGTGTTGTTCAGCCTCCATGTGATACCGGACTTTCTTTGGTGGCTTTTGGTGTTGAGTTCTAATTTTATTCCCTTGTGGTCAGAGAGAATGCAAGGTATAACTTCAATGTTTCTCAATTTAGACAAGTTTGCTTTGTGGCCTAAAATGTGGTCTATTTTAGAAAACGTTCCATGTGCTGCTGAGAAAAACGTGTATTCTGATGCTGCTGGGTGAAATGTTCGGTAGATGTCTGTTAAGTCTAGTTGATCTATGCAGCTCTTTAGATCTGTGGTTTCTCTGTTGAGATGGGTATCCTTTTTACTCACTTCGACAATTACCCTCTTTTTCATCCCTGTGAACAACTTCGGTCTACTTTACATAGGATAGCTTTGTTTTCATTACATGTAGTTACTAACTGATAATCAAAGAAAAAGGTTGTTTGTGAAAGAAAAAGAATTGTTAGGTCACAGGTTAAAATATCTTTTTGGGGGCATGGGATCCGGTTGTGGTGCCTGAGCTCTGGGCCTGGGCACTGTCCCTCAGCTGTTCAGCTCAAGGCTAGCGCTCTACCACTTGAGCCACAGAGCCACTTCTGGCTTTTTTCTTTCTGCTTATGTTGTGCTAAGGAATCGAATCCAGGTCCTCATGCATGAAAGGCAAGCGCTCTACCACAGAGTCACCTTCCCAGCCCAGGTTAAAATATCTTATTCATCCCAATGATTCCTATGAGATAACATTTATAATAGTAGTAAACGTGAAAAGGAATTCCTAGAACTGTTGTTTTGCCATTTAGAATGGCAAAGAATAATATCATGTCACTCATAATTATTAAAGAATGCTAGGAAAAATGTTGGTCCCCATCATGTTCCCACAAAGCCAGTGGATCCTCAAGGATAATAGAATAGCAGCAGAAGTTCTAAGTAGCAGACATGGAGCATGAAAGACAAAGAGAGGAGATGAGAGAGAGTGAAAGAAAGAGAAATATCATAATACTGGAAGTGCATAACAGATAAACAAGAGTTGTAGGAGAATATTCATACTGCTATCTTCAGACTCTACATGTACATTTGAACGTATTTGATGTATGATAACCCATCAACCCAAATTTTAAAATGATTTTGATAAAAATAAAAATTACTCAGAATAACTTAAAAATGCAAAAACAATCTTCACAGAAGCAAACTTTCAGGGACATTTCATGATTTTGAAGTTAGTATAAATTTAGAAGTTTTACAATTCACAAAATTATAAAAAGATACTTATATATTTCATTATATAACCCAAAGCAGAAAGCAAATGTTGTTTAGATGATTTTTTAAAACACAGTCTATCAGGAGCTGGGATGGTGGCTGTTGTAGAGTGCCTGCCTTGTATGCATGAGGCCTTGGGTTTGATTCTTCAACATCATGTTAGTAGAAAAAGATGGAATTGGTAGGGTGGCTCAAGTGGAAGCAATAGCCTTGAGCTGCGGGACAACACCCAGGACCCAGAGTTCAAGCTTCATGACCAACGAAATCAAAGTAAAAAACAAAAAAAAACACAGTCTCTCACTTTTGTGACCTCAACTCTGTAATACCGCTGCTTCAGCCTAGGGCTAAGATTTTAGGTGTGGACATTTATCATCCCTCCTGATTCAGACTGTACTTGATAATTTTTTTTTTTGTCGGTCGTGGGACTTGAACTCTGGGCCTGGGCGCTGTCCCTCAGCTCTTCAGCTCAAGGCGAGCGCTCTACCACTTGAGCTACAGCGCCACTTCCGGTTTTCTGGTGGTTTATTGGAGATAGGAGTCTCACGGTCTCTCCTGCCCGGGCTGGCTTTGAACTGCAATCCTCAGATCTCAGCCTCCTGAGTAGCTAGGATTACAGGCGTGAGCCACCAGCACCCGGCTTGATAATTTTTAATCAATATTATATTCTTAATTTTGCTTATTGTAAATTCACATGCACCTATAAAAAATGGTTTGGCCATCCCAGTAACCTTCTCAAAGTACCTTCTGATGATTCCTAACAAAAGTTGTATTATATTACAACAAGGGAAACAATGCTACAAATAAAGAAAAACAATAATTAAATATAAATGATTAATAAAATAAAATACCAAAAAATTACCAGGTTTTTTCAGTATTTGAAGTGTACTTACATATTAGATATTACTATTTTCTCATATCCCTGTACATTTAACACTGGCTAAGATTATGATGTTCAACAAGAGTTTTATAGGCTATGAGTAGTCTTTAAAGTTACCCACTAAGATTGCTTTTATAACTCATCTCATAATTTGTATATGGCTTATATCATCATTAGTTCCTCACTAACATATAAAGTAAGAAAGTCCTAAAGTTTTAAGAGAAACTGTGTAGTTAACACAGTCTTAACTCTTCACCATGCTTCTTTACACAAAGACTTTGCAACTTCTCATTAGGAATGTTTCTATAAACTCTGAAATGTACATTCTTAGTAGCATATGTCTGCTACCATAAATCTTAAATACTTTATAGAAAAGTTGTATGTCCTGACATACAGTCCTAATTTTGGCATATATAAGCAAATTATCAAAATTAAATACATTTAAAACATTAAAACATTTAACAAACTTTAACACTTGCTGCAGTGTTCATTATGACTGGTGCCTTGTACAGAATAATTGAATTCCTCCTCCTAAACATCTCTTGAACAACAAATATCTGGAATTATCTTGGTTTTGACATGCCAATCTTGACTATTCTTAATTGTGTGCTTGTATAAGAAATACATGGTTCTAAAATTTCATGGGAATTCTTCTAAAGTTACTTTTTTTTGAATTGTCAAGATTAAGAAAACCAATTATACTTTATATATAAAAAATGTTCTGTGCTCAATTCAGCAGCACATACACTAAAATTGGAGCAATACAGAGAGGATTAGCATGGCCCTGCGCAAGGTTCACATGCAAATTATTGAATCCTTCCATATTTTTACAAGTACAGATGCTGGAGAGGATTTGGCCACAAGGAAACCCTACTTCATTCTTGGTGGGAGTGTGAACTTGTTCAACAACTTTGGAAAGCAGTATGGGGGCTTCTCAAAAGATTCCATATAAAGCTCCCCTATGACTGAGCAATCAAACTTTTTGGGATTTACCCAAATGGTCATAAGCAAGACCATACTAAACCTACCAGCACAGCTATGTTTACTGCAGCATTATTTACGATAGCTAAGATATGGAGCTCACCGCAATGGACCGCAGAAGATAAATGGATTATGAATATGTGGTATATATAAACAATGAAATTCTATGCCTCCATTGCCCAATTAGTTAGAAATTAGAAAGATTTGGAAAAAAATTTTATTAAGTGAAGTAAGCCAAATCCAAAGAAACATAGGTACCATGGTTTGCCTTATTTTCAACAACTAATATATGTCTGGGATAAGCAGAACAGGTCATAAGCTATGTGCATATGACCAGATAAAATGATATTATGGGAAATGAACCACACAAGTGATTCTTTGTTTCTTGCTCTTCTTGTTTCCAAGATACTTATAATGTGTGATGTAATTTTTTTGTTTCTTTATCTGTTCCTCCCCCACGCTCTAACCCCTGTTTTCACTGTACTTGAAGTTGGTGCGCCAAAACCTGTGTATATGTGTCTCTAATTTGGGGAGGGAAAAGGGAAATACAAAATGCTTAAATAGGGATACAGGTTGAGATGCACAAGACACTATGTTGAAAAATGAACTGTACAATTTAGGCAGGGGAAGGAGGGAGGGGAGTGTATTCTTTGAGGTGGGAAGGGGTGGTAGAGGAAAAAGAAAGGAAGAGGTAACACTGATTGTTAGAAAATGTACTCATTATTTGCTCTTTTAATTGTGACAACTCTGTACAGTTTTTTTACACTTAAAAACATAAAAATGTTCTGATCATGTGATATACTTTATTTCTTCAGTTGATACAATTTAATAAACAGTAACTTGGGGAAAACAAAAAACTGTTCTGATATAGAAGAGTTTATTTCCTCTATTTTCCCATATAATATTTTTAACAAAGAAATTAATGCAGAACACTGATATGAAGGTATTTTGAATAAATGTGTGTGTGAGAGCGCACATGCATGCACACATGCATACATGCACATGCTTGTATATTGGCACTCTCAGAGTTTGAAATCAGGGCTTCAAGGTCTTGCTATGCCTTTCCTCTCTAGATTGGTGATCTACTATATGAACTACATCTCCATTCCTGGCTCTTTGCTAGTTCATTACAACTTTTAAAAAATAATCTCATGAAGTCTTTTTGCCCTGAGTGGCTTCCAAAAGTTATCCACAGATCTCAGGCTCCTGAGTAGTTATCCGAAGTAGATAGGATTATAGGTGTGGCCAGCAAGCATAAGGCTTTCAGAATATTTTTAAAAGTAGAAGAAAATTTACTTCACAGGGGCCTGTTTTATCATCTCATACTTTTAAAGCATTTTGGAGTGATTATATGTGAATTTATTTCATTAGGTATTCTTAAAAGATAGTAAGTAATGGTATTTAAAAGTTTTAGTACTTTTTAAAAAAGAATACTGGAGCTGTGGGACAAAAGAAGGTCAGCTCTGTGCATGATAATCCAATGTCACCAATACAGTCTGTGTTGAGGAAAAAATGTAACAGAAAACAATCGCCATGGGTAATAATTGATATGCTATTATTCATAGGGATATATGAATATTGAATTGAGAGTGTAAGAGAATGGAGAGATTTTACCTACCTTTTTTCTATTGCTAAAAGGCTTTTGGAAACTGTGACTCATTTCCTTCCTCACTGTGTGTCTATGGGCCATGTACTTAGTGCCTTTAATTACAATTTTTCCCAACACTAAAATGGTAATAACATTAGCATTATAGCAAATGCTATCTTAAGAATTGAGAGAAATAAAACTTGCAAAATACTTAACATAAATTTCTATGAATGAGCATTAAGTTTAGCCAACAGTTTTTTAAACACTAAATAAAATGCAATAATATTACAGAAAAGATTATAGATACTGAGCAACCAGAAGTAATGTGATCTATTGACCATGCTCTGCTTCTAAGGAAGCCAGTTGTATAATGCTCATGTTGTAAATAAAACTGGTTATCTTATGTCTTGGTAGTGTAAAAATATCAGGGACAGAATAATGAAGGAATGTTGTAGACTGAGGTGAAGCCCATATGCTAATGTGCAAACTGATAACATGTAAATTAACTAGGCAGTATATTGTGTTTTACATCATTTAAGTTATACCACAAAGATAAGGAATACCTAGAAGAATGAATTCTCTTGATATCCTATCATAGTCCTTAGCAGCAGGATGAACTCTTTCTTCATTCTTGTAGAGGCAATATCAGAGGAGAGGAACTGTATTTTCTGTTTGCTTCCTTCCATTTGTTCTTCAGTTTGAATCTAAACTACATGAGACTGAATGAAACTAAGGGAAATTAGACATGCAGGCTTTGGAAAGAACAATCAATGAAAATAAATAAAATACTTATAGCCTTATGAAAGGTCTAACTAAATTGAGTTATATACTCTCAAGTGTAAACAGAAAATGATTTACACAATATCATGTTATTGAAAATTGAAAAATGTAAGGAGTTGCTTAATTTTTTTCATTTCTACTCCCTTGAATTAATTATTGATTTTATAGAGAGAGATTAAAGATGAGATTAACAAGAAATGATTAAAATTGAAAAGAGTTCTGGGAAGATGGCAGAGGAGAAACTGGAGGCTAAACAATATCTCGCATAGAAAGCAGTTTTAGTGTTCCAGTGAGCAGTCCTAAGCCAGAGAATCACACCAAGGGTGCCATCACAATACAGAGAGTTTGGCCAGAAAGAGAAAACCCAGGCAAGGAGACAGATCTGTGCACTTGCCAACAGCCTTGGCTGCTGCTGTGGCGGCAGTGGTGGCGGCAGTATCCACCAAACCTGCAAAATAGAGAGTCCAGGATGAAGGCCCCAGACTCAGCGGGCTAGCAGATTCTACTCAACACCAGCAAGAACTGACAAGGAGCAGACATCTTCATTCTGTAGATTGCAGACCAGAGACGACCTAGGAGCCAACACTCTGGCATAAGTAGAAGCCTGACATCCTCATTCCTTCTCAAGGAGCAGAGGAGGTAAGGCCACCTCTCCACTCCCCCACTACTGGAGATCTCCATTTTTGATACTGACAATGGCCTGACTGAGCCTCTAGCTTCAACTCAGGCCTTGAAAGAAAACAAAAGAGTCATTTAGCAGGTCACAGGAACCTGACCTGAACTTCCAGGCTCAGCTCCACCCTGGGAAAACTCACCCAGCTCAGGCCAAGCCAGCTCCACCAGCCCCAGGAGTGGCTTCTTCACTGGGTAAACAGAGCCAGAGGCTGCCCCTCTCTACAGCAGCCTTGACAATCAATTGAAATTCAGTAAACAAAAACCCTGATAATGTCTCCATGCTGGACTCTGTGAGTGTCTCAGAAGCTAGCCGCTTAGGGAAATGTTACTGTTCGTTGAAAGGACTCAACTCCACTCAGAACCTAGCCTAATCACAGCATCTCCAAATTAGAGGAAACAGACATCTCCCTTTTCTGTGAGACTCAAAGGAGATCTCCCTTCCATTGAACTACCCTGGGAGGAAGATCACAAAATCCTTGGTAAAACAGAGCATTTTTCTGCCTGCTCAAACAAACTGACTTTAAAAACCAATCAAGCCACAGGAAAACCAAACACTACAAGCAGAGCACAGACTCCAAACTGAGACTGGTTACGGACACAAGAGAGATACAGGATCTTCCTATCCTCCCCCCCAAAAAATCCAAGAACTTATTTTTTGTACCTTTTTAATTTTTTTTTAATTTTATGATTTTTAACTTTTTAAAAAATTGTTTGCTATTAACCTTTTTTTTCCCTATTATAATATAGATTTAAGGGTTATATGTGTGTGTGCTTTTTTTTAGCTCTACTGAACTTTTGATCTTTTTTCTCTTTCACATTCTTTTCACTTTTTCTTCTCTTTCGTTCTTTTTCTGTGTGACTTAATTGCTGTTCTGCTCATCCTCAGATATACACATAATCGATTATTAGACCTTATCCCCCATTGTGTACACACTTAATCCAGAAATTTATTGTTCAGTTCAGAACCTCTTAGACTTAAATTCCTTAATAGCAGTACTATTTATTTATACCTATATAATAGTTCAAGAAATTTTATTTTTTAATTTTTCGTGTCTCCTTTTTATCCCTCCCCTTCTCTCATCCTGTTGCTGTTCTTCTGTGAATATTATGTTGTTAAATTTGCATAATTTTAAAGTGTTTCCATTAATTTGTATTTTTCTTGTTTCCTTTTTCTTTTTTTCTTTTTCTTCTTTTTTCTCTTTCTACTATCATTCCATCCAATCTATTTCCCTCTTTAAGATTTTGACTTAGTTAATTTAACTCTCCCTTTACCTTATCATATTCCTCTATTCCTATTTTTGCCCACATCTCTCCCTAAACCTGATAATTTCTGGTTTACCAAATTCTTTGTGGTTCATAGCCCATTAATACATAGTTGTTTGATGTTGAATAGATATAACTGTTGAACTAGATTGTATCTGCAGACTTTTGACTGTGCAACTACAGACTTTGATTGATGCTTGCCTTAAGATAGTGTTCCAGCACAAAACTGGTGTTACTTTCATTCCAAATGGGCAGAAAAAGCTGGAAAAACACAAGGAAAATGGCAAGTCTGTGTATCTCAAATCATACTCATGATAATCAAGGGACAGAACAGATAGTGAATAATCCAGAGGAGAGCTCCCAAAAAGCTCTATAAACACTACTGGTAATCATGGTAAAATTAAAGATTGAAACCCTGCAAAGGATTCAGTGTGAGCATGATAGGGAGAGAGAGGAGGCAAACCAAGGTTCAATACAGGAATATCATGAAAGTGAGGAAGATACTCAAAGATTGATACAGGAATTTCGTGAGCAGATTAAGA